GTGTGTGAAAGTTCCCCACCATACATTTCCCCCCTGTTTTTCATTTAGGGGAGGGCATGAAAAGGTACTTGTGGTATGTGGGGGGGGTCTCACCTCAGAAGGAGTGGTCTTTTTTTTTTTTTGCGATGTCAGGATTACTTTCGACAGGTCTCTGAAGAGCCCCAGAAATGGGTTTGGTGACCCTCACCCCCCTCCCCTTCATTTGGGGGAGGGTCTTTTTTATATATGCATACACACAACTCCCCGTATTCCTCTAGATCCCATTTTTCCTCCCCTAATTATTTATTGTGGGTGAATAGAGTTTGGCAAGTGTGTATATGAGTGTGCGTGGAAGGGCGTGTGCGTGTGTGTTGAATTTGGTGTACACCGAGCCCCACTCAAAATGGAGTATTTTAAGAGGGAGGTAGGGTTGACTGCTTTTCCTTCTGGATATTTTAGAGCTTGCAAATTAGTTTTTAACTGCTTCCCCTACAAACCTGGCTACTGATTGCTATTGGGCCTTATAGAGTTGAAGGACTGTAGGTTGAACCTGTATGTCAAGGTGGGGTTAGCTTGAATGCAAGGGGTTTGGGGGAAATGAGGGGATTGGGGGAGGGGAGTGTGTTTCACAGTACAGGGTTAATTTTTGAGGGACACGAGCCATTACACCTTATGGGACAACAGGTCTGTGCCATCAATCCTATACGAAACCTTACGAAAACATTGCCCCTGGGCGGAGTGGCCAAACCCACACACACCCAGAACTGGAGGGCCCAGCTTCAAGTTAATCAAAAACACATGCGCGCACACACCTGCTTCCTGTGACAGGGAAAAAAAACTTTTCTCTCCTTCTCCCCCCCTCTATTTGGATCTTGGAAGGCCCCCTTTTTTACGACGTGTATTTCTGTGTATCTTGTTCGCGCCTCAAGGGTATTGTTCTGAGATATGGGATTTGTGTTCTGTATTATTGGATGTTCCTATATATTTTTATTGTTTATTATTAGTGTCTGAGACGTTTTTTTCTCTCAATATGTAAAACTCACATTGTATACTGTGTACACAACAAAATGACAAAAAACACTTTTCTTTGCAAAAATGAAATGCCTGATGCCCTGCTTTATTCATTTTGTTGGTATCGGGGAGGGGGAGGCCATGGTGTGGAAGGAGAGGGCAGAGATAATTCAGTCAGCCGCTTGGTAAGGAGTGATCTGAACAAATGATAGAGGGGGATGGTGTAGAAAATAAAAGTGGTTTATAAAATTAAGCATGGATTGGAACATGTGGGTAGAGAACTTCCCCCATAATACTACAACTTGGGGGTATTGTTGATGAACACCTAGATTTAGGACAGACCAAAGGGAAAGACTTATTTGCTTAAAAAATAAACTAGGAATTCACAGCCAGAAGGCACAGCAATGAATGTGGATGGCTTCAAAAGGGGGATTAAACAGATTAATGGTGGATTGTCCGTCACCGGTCTCCATGGCGAAAGGGGGCTTCCATACGCAGAGGCGGTCAACCTCTGAATACTGAACTAGGAGGTCAATAATAGGCCTTGGCTTCTATGCCGTTTGCTGGCCCTCCAGGGCAAACTGGTTGGTCACTCAGAGTGCTGGACTAGATGGACCACTAGTCTGATCTGGCAGGGTTTTTGTTATGTTCTTACCATGCAGGAAACCCAGGAGTCCTTGCTACTAGGGTCATGGATGTCTTTCCCCTCAGACAGCCCTGAACTTCACCCTCTCAGCCCCAAGGCCTTACTACTCATCGTTTTCCGGCTGGATGAACCCAGGGTCCCTGGCTTGGATTCTCCTAGGCAACACTCCAAGATGCAAAAGTCCAGTTGCATTTTGACCACTCATCTTAGGAACACAAGTTTCAATTCCAGTAGCTTCTATTTATTGCAAAACCACTGTTCTTTGTTATCTTAGTGTTTGCTGACCTTTCCCACTGGATGGGAAGAATATAGTCATTATGAAGAAGAGATGCGACCCCTCCCTAGCCTAAGTTATATTGTCTGTTTTATCTACAACCATGTGGAATTTTTGCTAGGAGTTAAACCAGGGTTCTTTTTGTAGAAAAAGCCCAGCAGGAACTCATTAGCATATTGGGCCACACCCCTGACAGCACAGCTCATTAGCACATTAGGCCGCACCCCCATGTTACCAGAAGTGTGGTTATCCAGCCACGCCCACCTTTTGCTTGTTGTTCTGTTTACCTTGTTTGTTGTCAAAACCCAGGGCCTTTTTTGTAGCAGGAACTCCTTTGCATGTTAGGCCACACCCCCTAATGTAGCCAATCCTAATGAGTCTCTGCTGTTAGGTGTGGCCTATTATGCTAATGAGTTCCTGCTGGGCGTGGCCAACTTGGGAGCCAGCCGGAACTCCGTTCCTGTGCGTTCCTGCCCAAAAATAGCCCTGAGTTAAACTATTTGGGAGGAAGAAGAGTCAGGACTGAAGACTATTGTTTGGATATGTTGGGGATAACCTTCTACAGTGTTGTTTTTTTGTCACCATAAAGTATTTCAACCTTTTATCCAACTTGATTATAAAACCATGTATTTTATGTTTGCCCAAGCCTGGATGAGCTATGCTAGCCCAATCTCAGAAGCTATGTAAAGTCAGCCCTGGTTAGTACTTGGATGGGAGACCTCCAAGAAATACCAGGGTCATGACATGGAGGCAGGCAATGGCAAACCACCTCTGAATGTCTCTTGCCTTGAAAACCCCGTGGGGTCGCCATTAGTCAGCTGTGACTGAACAGTGCATTCCACCACCATTTTCTGTTCCATTTTTTAATGTCACTTGCTCACCATTCTGTTTCTGGAAACTTCACCAGTGGCTATTTTGCATCTGTAACATCTTATGCCTATTGTGTTGAAATATGAAATATTGACCATGTTTTCCCCAAGGCATCCTTCATTCTGAGCAAAAAGTGGCCACTATCATGTGGAACTGGGAGATCGTCTTTCTCTTTGGAAGGAAGTAACTGGGAATCTGGAAGCATCTTTACAACTGGTTAGGTTCAGGTCTGCCGCCGATTTAAGTGGCAGTGGCCAAGCTTTAAGGCCAAACTGCCCCCGGGAAGGGTCTCTTAGGTCTGAATTTAAACGTGACGTTCTGTGGCAGAAGCTCTCATCCACAGGGCTCTGCGCTTCCCACCTTGTTTTGTATAAACTGTTACCCACTGTAAAGAATTTGCCGGTGCTACATATGTTTTGCACAAGTAGCCCAATTTAAAGGAGATGTGCTGTGAGTGCAGTGTACATTTCCCTTGGCAGTGGCACATTTAAATTAAGACACAGCGCTGTAGCAGTAAATTACATTCTTATTTTTCCAAGTAGGGTTTGAACAAACAAAAAAATCCATCCCAGATTTCCCTAAAATTCTACTCTTTCAAGAGCTTCTCTGCCAACCATCTTTCCATTGCACAGTGAACGTACATTGGTTGTTCATTCGTTAAAATGGTCCTCACGCTTGCTTTCAAGTGTGCACTTGGTTAGATGAATGGAACATTTTGCTGAATGCTCAGAAGTATATTTTGCTCCTGAGGAATGATAAATATCCCAGCATTTTACCAAAATTTGTTGGGGGGGGGCACACACAGAGCACCAAAAATGAAGCTATCAGATAAGTAGCAGTAAGAAAAGTCCCACCCCCAAGCTTTTCTTGAAAACAGTGTAGAACAGAACTCCTCTTGGGTATTTGAGGGGTTATGCAAGCTAATCTGGTACATGGGTCCGACTCCCCAATGTGGTTCCCTCTAAGCTGAGTTAGTGTGAGCTAGCAGAGTTTTTTAGCCTCTGGCTCACACATTTCTGGCTTAGCTCAGGAAGGATGGCTCCAGAACAAACTAATTTATGCAGTAGCCAAATGGCTCGCTCACAACTTTAATGCCAGTAGCTCACAAAGTAGTTTTGCTCACAAGAACCTGCAGCTAAGAGGGAACATTGCCATGGCACCCGTCAACACCTTTTCTGGTGCTCGCCAGGTGTTCGTAGAAAGTGGACAGGGCGAGGTAGGGTTTTTGCTCAGCAAGCTTTCTGATTGGACACTGAAGATAATGTGCAGATTTTTTTTAAAAAAAACAGTTGCTTTGGCAGCAGCTGTCACCACAGCACAAGCATCTACACTGCATGACCAAAGGTAAGCTGGGGCAACCATTTTGTAGCTGGCTCCACTGTCTGTAGTAGCCATTTTAAGGCAGCCATTTTGTGGCTGAGCCCACCATGCTATATCAGAATCCCAAAGGTGCCCATGTAGTCGCTGATGATCTACAAGTAGCTTACAACCAAACCGAACAGAAGTTTATTATAACAGTCATAGACCAGATAAAAGCTGCCTGTTGGGAGGTCCCTGCCCTAGATAAAGTTCTCCTTTGGGGGAAATTGCAAAGGTAAACAGTAGCACCTGTCTAGCTCTCTCTCAGTACAAAGGGGAATATTGTGCCAGTGCCATTTTTTAAAAAAGTATAAAAGAAAGAAATGGGACATGTTTTGAAGCAAGGCCCCAAGTCTGCGGCCTAATTTGTGTTCTTAACCAGCATGATCAATGCGGTGCCCAATAAGGCGTAGGGGTCCCATTTGAGATTTCAGGTACAATGCTTCCTCTAAGCTGTGGAGTCCTATGAGCAAAAATTCTACTTCGTGAGCTACCAGCATTAAAGTTGTGAGCAGGCAGGTGATTTGGCTACTGCATCGATTAGTTTGCTCTGGACTGGAGTCATCCTTCCTAAGATCGAACACGAGATGGATTGGTTCGATCAAGGGAGCCACAGCCCTCAGCTTGCAAGACCTGAGCAAGACTGCTTAACAATAGGATGTTTTGGAGGTCATGAATTCATGGGGTCACCATGCTGGCACATAACACACACACACACATCCTCTCGCAGATAGGAAGACACCTGGAGCTGATAACCTAGCTACGCTCATAATGCTATGAAATCCAGTGATACCCACCCCTGGATACCCACCCCATTTTGTGCAACAACCCCAATGACCACATAGCAAACAACTTCTCTGGGAATATTTTTTTTATTCTGTTAAAATAGTTTTTGGCTAAGTGACAACTCCACACACCTATGACTACCTTTGCATTTCATGGCCTTTAGGCCACAGTTTATAAAAGTTCTCCGTACCTGTGTGTGTGCACGTGTGTGTGTATATATATATATATATTTATATTCATATAACATATCTGCCATTTGCAAAGAATACTTTATGCCACTGATTAAGTGGGCTGTAGTCCATGAAAGCTAAACCAGTTAAGTTTTTAAAGTGCTGCAAGAACTTTTGCGCTTTTTTTGGACAAGTGGTAACTTTTTGGCATTTTCAAGCTGGAATGCTCGGCAAGGTTATACAGTGTGGCTGGGGTGCGGTGGGGAATAAACAGAAGAGAATTTTTATACATGCACACCTCGTGTTGCAACTGCTGAAAAAGTGCGTCTTGCATCTGACCAGGACTGAATGCATCCTCTTGCTTCACGAGGTAAGAGGCGATTACGGAATCTGCATGTTCTCAGGTGGGTAAGGCAGGCCAAAGGAGACTTCCTCCACGGTGGTGAAACTGGCAAGCGTTACAGAGGTTTTGGGAAACGACGGTCCTGATAAGGTTCACTTGATCAACATGCCTGTAAGACCCCCCGTTGGAAATGAAACATAACTGTACCTGTGAGGACCATTGCCAGAAGTCACAGGGTAAGTGATAAAATTCAGCTGCCATGGAAGGATGTCTAAGAAAACCGGCAGATTACGAATGGGCTGTGACAGTAAAGTATGTTGCAGAACGGAAGCTGTAAAGGATGAATTAAAAAGGCTGCAAGTGTCTTTAATGACACAAAGGCAAATCTTACTGTGCTTGGGAAGGGCAGAGCAGTGTATTTTCAATCTACCTGGCAATGCAATTTCGTTTCTAATAATTAAAAACGGTGTTTAAAAAAGTTCACTGCATCTGGTCAAGGCTGCTTCTCAGCCACTGGGAGGGATGGCGGTTTTTAGCTCAATTTGTCCCTGATATAGGGGTGGGGGCAGAAGGTGATCCTTTGATTTCAGCTATTCCTTTTCTGGTTAGGTCCTCTGCCCAAAAGAAAGGAGAGGCTTGTTTTTCAGTCCACCTATCTGCTGTGATGCACTCACACTCGATTGGTCTGCAGAGGGGGGGGGGGATGGAGATGCTAGCTCCATCTTCTCCACAAAAAGGGGTGTAACTCCAGCTCCTCCCCTTTTCCAGAAAAAGGGTACGACACCAGCTGTAGAAGGGGGAAGGAGTCGTAACCGTGCACCAGCTACCGTTCCCCCTTTCTCCATGGTGGAGAACAGCTGAGCATACATATTGTTGTCAAATGTGTTTGAGTACAATTCTTTCCGTCTTCTACATATTTTCAAGGCCTGTTCTGTGCAGAAGATCACTGGGTTTAGCGGTTTGAACGCAGGCTAACCAACTGCCCAGTGCCCTATACTTGTCCCTCTCTGCCAAATTTACACCCAGCTGCTCACATATCTGAAAATGATCCTGCCTTCTATCCCTCAGCAGGGAGGGGACGCTTCTTCCAGAGGAACATGGCAGCATTTAGCAGTTGAAGGTGACGAGGTAGGATTTGCTGGTTTGCGATCCCCTTTCCCGCATCTTCTTTTAAGCCTGTGGAATCTCTTTCCTTGGTAGGTTAAAGGGTCTGGGGGTGGGGGTGGTTTACAACTTGTCTGCCTCTTGCTCCTTTCCAGTATGCAGAGTTCTCTGCAAAACTGGAGATATGAAGTATTTTAGAAACAACCACGGAACACACACAGACAACCCTTGTTGTAGTGGGGGGTGGGTAGGCTGGTTTTGAGCAAGGGAGAAATGCAGGTTCAAGAGAACCAGGACAGCTGTTCTTCCTCTTCCAGAACGTGTGGCTTGGGGTGAGAGGGTGGGCTACAAAATAGAACAAGGGCAGCCCCTGGTTTCTTTCTTCTTCGGGCTGACAGCTGGGGCTGGGGGACACTCAAGTTCATGAAACTTCCTGGAGGGAAAAAAAAGAATAAAGGGGAAGGGGGAAACAGAGGAAGAGAAAAAAATACAATCGGTTGTTTATTCTGTCATCTGTTCCATTCTTTTAAAATGAGGTAAGTTATCTTATCGAAAGGGAGACAAAACCCCTTGCCCCATAAATGCCTGGACAAAATCACGGATGCTGGGTTGATTCATATCTCTTTGCCACGGACTGACACTGTTTGAAGGGTCAAGCTTACTAAAGATAAATATTATCCAAAAATATATGTTTATTTATGGTGTACACAACAGCAAATATTAAAAGATTAAAAACAAGCAGTCTGAAGGTCAGACTTCATAGAACATCCACATGAGCTTGAAATAAGCTTTACTCAATTTACTTACAGAGTTGATGATTTCACATAGAATCATAGAATTGGAAGGGACCTCCAGGGTCATCTAGTCCAACATATATAGTTGATGCATATATCAAATGACCACGAACCTCCATGTTCAGATGCTGCCTACCACCAATTAACTCATTAGGGGAATGACCACAGGGGAAGGCCGTTCAGCCTTCAAGTCATGTGTGAGTTCGTGGAAGCATTTGGACCAGCTGCTGTTCAAAGTTAAACGCCTGGTGACGTGGAAGTGACCTAACTGAGGAAGGCAATTCTTTCCTCTGGGTGAACCACCTACCATGGAAGAAAGAACGACACAGCCTCAGAATGTGACCTAGGAAACTACAGGGGGGGGGGAGAGAAGCAAATAGAAAAGAGCGCTGAAGTCTCAGGTTGCAGATGAGCCCAGTTATCATGACAGCTGGCGAAAGAAAGAAAGCCGTAGCTCAGTGGTACAGCTCTTGATTTGGATACAGAAGGTCCCTGGTTTAATCCCCAGCATCTCCAAAAAACACCCTTCTCTGCCTGAAGAGCTTGTGACAGTCAACAAAAGACAACGCCAAGCAATATGGACCAATGTTCTTACTCTATATATAGCAGCTTCATAATGACCTGCACCCTGATAGCCCTATCTGGTGGCCCACGAAATATGCCAACCCTGGATTTGATAGTCCAAGGCAGGCAGGAAAATCAGAAGGTGTACCAAGCGTCTGATTGTGGCTGGTAAGCCACAATTGGCTGGGGGAGGAGCGTGTCACAGGAAGTGCATGTCTGAAACAGAAGGAGTTGTTTATTCCTCAGTTTGTACTGAGGAAGAAACACCTAGTCAGAAACTTCTTTCTGTATTGAAAGGGGCTGCCAAGTGAAGTAGTTTCCTCCAAACTCCATGTGTGTGACAGAGAGAGAGAGAGAGAAAGAGTGAGAGAGAGACCAAGCCAGCAGCAATTCCTATTTTCTCACCTGATGGCTCGAACCAGCTCATAAAAAGACTCGTCCACGTTGAGGCGGATTTTGGCTGAAGCTTCCATGTAGGGGATTCGATTCTCCCGGGCAAAGCTGATGGCCTCCTCTTTGGGCACCTGCCAGGATATTTATCTATTATCAGGAGCATTTAAATTTGATGTATTTTTGACACACTCAGGCCCCAAATTGGAACTTTCACAGTTTGCAAAAAAATTTTCACATCAGTCACTGCAAAGAAACTACGCAAGTTAATTCTATCCTAATCTAATTCCCATTAACAGCATGTTATGTCATCACAATCACGCCCCACAGTTCCCTTACCTGCCGATAGGGATCCAAGTCAGCCTTATTCCCCACGAGGATCATGGGAAACTCATCCCGGTCTTTCACCCGAAGTATCTGCGTGTGGAACTTGCTGATTTCATTAAAACTAGGATTGAGACAGAAAGGAGACGGATGAAGGAGACCCTTTTCACAGCCAGATGCACCCTGGGACAACACTATTATGGACTTGGTTCACGACCGAACAACAACAACAGAGAATACTGGGTTTGTCTCAGGGTCGTACTTTGTCCAATTGTAAATGCACTTGCCTAAAGGGGAGAAAAATCACTCTGAGCCTCAGGTTTCCCTATCTGTAAAACTGGAACCAGAATGAACTACTTCGCTGTTGCAAAAATGAACTGTATGTGAGCTGTATCATTTATCTATAAAATCAAACAGAACTATTTGCTTGCAAAACTCAATCAATTCTTTTAAGCACAATTAAAGCCCAATAACCTGCCTAATCTGTCAAGAGTCCGCTTGAGCACCTTGACAAAATCAACATTAAAAATGTCCCATTCAAATCACAATAAACGTAGTTGTTCTCAAACATGGCGTGATGTTGTGCCAGACGCTAAGCTATAATCAGAACGTGCTATCCTAGCTAGGTGTCAAATAACGTAACAGAACTAGCTGTGACTCAAACAATTACTGAGAAATTGTCTCAGGACATTTTCAAGTTTTCTCAAAATGTCTGATTTTTGAACAGCGTAAGGAAAACAACAAGGTGTGAAACCAGAAGCTATTGAAAATTATTTCTAGGCTTTCACATCTAGGGCTGCTAGCCCCCAGGTGGGAGCGGAGAATCCCCCGATTTCAGAGGCTACTGCCTGCTGCTGGCCAGTGGAGGGAAAACCTGCCCCCAACAGCCACAACCCAGCGCGACGTCCCCAATGTGATGACACCACAAGGAAGTAACATCATCACGCTGGGGTCATCATGTGGCGATGCTCTGGTATTTTGCGCAAAACTCTATGATTACCATAAAGTTTTGCCCAAAATACCAGAGTGTTGCTGTGCAACGTCCCCAGTGTGATGACATCACTTCCGCGTGACATCATCACGTCAGGGATGTCACGCACAACAACGTTGCCCTACCCCCCCCCCCACTCCCTAGAAAGCT